GGGATAGATTCCATAAATCGATTCTGCAAGTCACCATTATGCTTTCTCTATTAAAGGGTTACCAAAAGCCACTGGCTACTCACCTAAAGACAGCACAATAGAATGCCAGACATGGAACTGAGAAGACCTCGGTCCAGATCCCATCTCTAATATTACAAGCTATGTGACCACATCCCTCAATTAACTTGTCTGAGCCTCAATTTTCTCAACCATAGGAGAGGAATTATAACACCTTGACTGTAGTACCCACCTCACGGTGATGTTGTGAGAGCCCTATGTAAGTGCTCTATGTGCTTTAAAGAACTATAACGTATGTCTGCCATTATTAATTTTCGGACCTGTATCATAGGACTGAAAAATCTCAGTTTGAACTGACATGACCTTGATGTAGTTCAGGACTCCAGAGGAGTCCTGTAATTCCCTACCCCATTGAGGGGCTCTTGAATTAGACAATTATGGCTTGGAAAAAACTTCCCATAGCCAGTTGGGAGCCATACTAAGATACAGGTTAATCGATCAATCGTCTTATACAGTAATTGGTCCCTCTGCCTCAGGCTGTTCCCACTCTGATCAATTCTTCAACCACTTGTCAAATAACATTCCTAGAGTATGGGTCTGATCATGGAACTTTCTTCTCAATAAACTCCAATGACTCCCTCTTACCTCCAGAAGTAAATATAAATTCTTTTGTTTGGCATTCAAAGCCCTTCACAATCAGGCCCCAATTCACCTTTAAAGGTTTCACACACACACACACACACACACACACACACACACACACACCACCCTTTCATGCTCTCTATGGTCCATTCCTGTTTCAATGTCTGTACCCGGGTCATCTCCCATGCCTGGAATGCACTCCTTCCTCACTGCTGCCTCTTAGAATTCCTGATTTTCTTTAAGACTTTCCTGATCCCTGAGCTGCTAGAATCCTCTTTCCCAAGTAGGCACCTAGCAGCTAGGTGGTGCAGTGGACAGAGCACTAGTCCTGGAATCAGAAAGATCTGAGTTAAAATCCAGCCTCAGACATTAACTAGCTGTGTGACCTGAGCAAGTCACTTCATCCCCTGCCCCTAAATGTGTCTCCCTTTCTTCAACTGTAAAATAGGGATAATAATAGCACCTACTTCACAGGGTTGTCATAAGGATCAAATGAGATAATTGGGAAGCACTTTGCATACTTCCTGATATATAATGAATCTTATATATAACAGTCATTTCAGTTGTGTGTGTCTGACTCTTCATGACCGCATTTGGGGTTTTGTTGGCAATGGTACTGGAATGGTTTGCCATTTTCTTCTGCAGCTCATTTTAAGATGAGGAAACTTGGGGGTAGCTAGGTGGCATAGTGGATAGAGCACCGGCCCTGAAGTCAGGAGGAACTGAGTTCAAATCCGACCTCAGACACATAACACTCACTAGCTGTGTGACCCTGGGCAAGTCACTTAACCCCATTGCCTAGCCCCCCCCCCCCCCAAAAAAGACAAGGAAACTTGAGGCAAACAGGGTTGAGTGACTTGTCCAAAGTCACACAGCTAATAAGGTACTAAGGTCAGATTTGAACTCATGAAGATGAGTCTTCCTAACTCCAGGCTCAGCTCTCTATCCATTGTGCCACCTAGCTGCCTCAGTGGAATATTCGGATTTCCATTAAGGCCTGGGTTGTACCTGATGACTTTTGTGTCTCCTTCCAGGTAGGAACCTAATTTCCAGCCTTCTCTGTCACAGGAAATCTACTAGATCATAGGCTTTTTCAGATGGAAGAGACTTTAAAGGTAATTTATTCCAAAACTGTAATTTTATAGATGTGGAAAGGAAGGTCTAGAAAGGTGAAAAAACTCCCAAGGTCATATAGTAAATAGCAGTACCTAGATTCAAGCCACAGTCACGAGGAAACTGACTTTTGTTTTTTAAACTTCAAACAAAATAAACCCTGGGTGGCTACAAGTCATAAAATGCCTCTTTCTTATGTTGATTTTATGTTGGTTATTCATTTAGTCTTTTTTGGATGAAAATATTTGTTCAGCATTGGGAATTCAGAAACTCACCAGCACCAGATATGTGGTTGGAAAATCTGAAAGCAAAAGAGCCAGAAAGCTTAGACAAAATCAGCTCAGCTCCTCTCTTCTTCATTAGGCCAGCTGAGCTGAGCTTCAGAAAAGGCCATGAATGGCAGAGATAGGCCAGAGCTTTGTGTGTGTGTGTGTGTGTGTGTGTGTGTGTGTGTGTGTGTACAAACAAATCCAAAAACCTTGTTGAGCTATTGATCATCTTAAAGGCTACTTGAGAAACTATCAAAGATACTCCAAAGTAAACAAACCAAAACAAGAAAAACAATCCACCCACCATATAATTTTTTGCTTTGATATTATCACTATAGAATGAAGTCCATATTGAAATGACTGCATAGTAAATTGAAAGAATAAATACTTCCAATGATGCACATTTCCTGTCTGCCAAGAAACTGAGATGTATTAACCTTAATCAATTCAGAAGCCATTATTATTCACTTATTACGGGCTCTTGAGGGTTGCCTCCTTCCAAGATGCCTAGTTTAAGCTATCTGGGGAGCCCCATAATTGGCTGGATGATCCAGTTCAGGTAATAAATATTATTTTTCCAGATCACAGGGTGGGTGTTTGGGAGGGAGGGGAGTAATTTGTGGAAGGGAGATTTCAAGCCACAGCAGAACAAATTCCTTTGATATTCCTAAAACACTGTATTAGGAGCTGTGAAGCATATGGGAAAGTGTAAGACTTCATTCCCATCCTTAGGGAACTCCCAAGCCAGTTTCGTAGATGAGAACTACAACTAGGATTTTTTTTTTTTGCCTAGGTAAGGGGGGAGTGTCTGAGTCATGTCTAGCTCAGAAAGGCTAGTTTAAATGAGGAACTGACCTCTTCTGCTACATAGTAGGGGAAATGGTTGGGATGGTGGAACAGATGAATGGGAAGGGATTGCTCCCTAGGACAAAGGAGAGAAGAGCCTAACCAGGAGGAATTCATCTAGGGTACATCATTGGGATGAGTGGGTAAGGAAACACCCTGGGAATAAGCTGTCAATGCTTTCTAAATTTTGGTCACCTTGTGGACAAAGCCTGGCTTTGCTTTAGTTTCAACTCTTCTTTGGATTCTGTCCTCCTTCTCCCACCACTTTTAGCATAGCCCATTAGATAAAAAGGGCAAAAGGGGGCCGTTATTTGGTTGGTGCTTAATTAAATTAGCCAATGTTAACGTAAGTAGTGGCCTTCCCCCTAACTTTATAAAGGAGCAATTCTATTCCTTTCCTCAGCAAGAATTTATTAAGCACCTACTACGTGCAAGACACTGTGCTAGTCACTGAGACAATGTTTTAAGTCATTTCAGCAACAGCAAAAGCAATCACACAAAACCCCTCTGGGTTCAAACACATACTTTCAAATGCAGGGGTTATGTTTTAGAGAAAGGTATGTATCAAGCTGGTTTTAATAAACCATTTCCTGCACATTAGAGGAGTTTGATATTAAAAGGAATTTTAAAAATGAATTCTTTGTAATTCATCTCTTTTAACTGTTCTGCCTTGCCCTCATCTTTGTGTTTTGTGTAATTCTAGATTTTCACATATATTGTATTTGGATAAAGCAGGGCACATCCATTCTTAAGCCAGTCAATTAACAAGCATTTGCCATACTGAAGGCACCATGGTACAAAGTAAAATCCAAAGTAGTAACTGAGTCATATAGGGATTTTCTGTAGTAGAGCTAGGTAGATACAGCCTATCAAACCTGAGGTTATTTACCTGATAATATCAGTTATCCTAAACACAGCTGAGTACTAGGAAGATTTTTTTAAGATCTCTGAGCCGCTAAAATAGACTTTACAAGGCACTGTCCTTTATTAATCAATAAACAATTATTAATCACTGGTCTGGCTTCCAACCTACATCTCACAGCCATCTGAGGAGGGTGCTTCTGCACAGAAGAGGCCAACCTCACCCACCAACCAACTGCCACCCACAGGGCAAACAGGCCAGCCTGACTGAAGCAGCAGGACACTCTGACGAAGAGACAGGAGGTAGCATGTGCCTGGCAAGTCAAACCATCACCACCAACTCAACCACATCCCCACTAGGACTTTAATGGAGATAGTCCAGGACCCTGAACTCAAGAGCCTTGGGAATAGCAATGCTTCCAGCTCAATGCCCTCAGCCATCATCCCCTGAAGCAGACCCCTTAGAGATACAGCCTGGTAACTGCTCCTGCAGAAGCTACTGCCACCCCTTTGGAAAACCCCCAAAATGAAAGCTCCTATCACCTAGGTCTCTGTCACGGTCATATGGTTCAACATCACAAACTGGTACGATTTCATCAGTGGAAATGACATGAAAGAAGAGGCATTACCATTTGCTTTGCCACTACACCCCAAGGACCATGGGGCCTTTCCATCTGATTTGCAGCTGAAACCTTCCATACATATTGTCTCCTCCATTAGAATGTGAGCTCCTGGAGAGCAAGGACTGTCTTACTTTTCTTTTTGTATCTTCAGAACTTAGCACAGTGCTTTGCACACAATAAATACTTAATAAATGCTTCTTCATTCATTCATTCTTTTATCCATTTATTCACTTACTATGAATACCAAGGAATTCAGTGCTGCTATTATGACCCTATGGTTATAAATTCAGAGCTGGGAGGGAACTGGGAGACCATTTTTCTAGGCTGACATCCCTCATTCTACAGATGAGAAAACTGAGACCCAAGGAGATGAAATTACTTGGTTAGTGTCTAAGAAAGGCTGAAAATGGTACTGAGATAAAGCTGGGCAACATGGTGTGTGTGGAGCCAGGGCTGACCAAAAGCCATTGCAGACCTCTACCAAGGGGATGAGCTCTTTTTAGGAGAAGGTCCTCCCTCTCTTCTCGGTAGGATGGACATAGCCAGCTTTTGCCTGGAGGCCATCATTTTAATAAAAAACATTGTTTGGGAATTAGAGACAGAAAAATAGGGAAATGTTGAGAATTACCTCACAAGGAGAGTTCTTCATTGGTGCAGGAAACATGTTGCTGGTCAGTACCACAGTTTCTGCTGGGCTAGCCTTGCTAGTGTTAAACAGCATTGCATAGCCTGTGGGAAGAGGAAGTAATAGATTATTATCAAGAATGGAAAAGCATGTCTGAATACAAATTGAAACATACTTCTTTGTTTCTTTGTTTCTGTTTCTCTCTCTCTCTCTCTCTCTCTCTCTCTCTCTCGTTTGAGTCTTCTTGCAATAAATGACTAATATGGAAAGGCTTTACATGATTGCACCAGTATAACCTATATCAGATTGCTTACTGTCTCAGGAAGGGGGGAGGGGAGGGAGGGAGGGATAGAATTTGGAATTCAAAACTTTTAAAAAATGTTAAGAATTATTTTTACATGCAATCAGGTGAAAATTAAATATTATTATAAAACTATAGGAAGAACAAAATTTGGTTGACAATAAATAGAATCAGGGGTGTTATTAATTTATCTGAATATTTTCTGATCAACATTTGACAACTTTATCATATGAAAAATCTTGTGTACTTAATAAAGTTTTTGATTAAAAAAAGGAAAAGCATGAATGTGTCTTCAATTCAACACACATTTACACATACACAGTATGTGCTAAGCAATGAGATAGTTACCTAGATAAATATGACAATCTTTGCCCTCAAAGAGCTTACAGCTTAGTGGATTTGGGCTAAAGTGGGTAAGTAAATGAGCATAAATCAAAATGGAATGTGAAAATACCAGAGTTTATACATCATAAGAGAGACACAGAGTGCAATCTGAGTTCAGGAGAGTGGGATCGCTTCATATTGGGAAAGGGAAGGAATCAGGAAATACTATAAGAGGTTGGCATTAATCTGCTCAATCTCTTACATGTAAAATATGGGTAAGATTTCAACTGGCATGGCTTATAGCAGTTAGAGCAGGAATGGATCTTATGAGACATCTAGCTCAACACTGCTAATTTTACAGAGAAGGAAACTGAGGCCCACAGATGTCATAGAATTATAGATTGAGAGCTGGGAGAGACCTTACAGACCATCCATTTAGTCTAACCTTTGTCATTTTTATAGATGAGGAAACTGAGGTCTAGAGGGATTAAATGATTTGTCCAGGGTCTTTAAGGTAGCAAGTGGCAGAGCTATGATTCAAACTTGGGTCCTCCAATTCCCAGTAAAGTCTTCTTTTCATTGGACCATGCTGTGATGTAGGAGTAGGGATGATGGTATGGTAGAGAGGCAATAATGGAGACACTGCCTCAGACTAGCTAGGCTGCTAACATTTTTTTTAAAGTACAATAGAAATGTCATTTATTTTAATATCATCCTTGCTATCATTATGATTATTAAAAAAGCATCTATTCCTATTAAACATATTTTCAAGTTAGTGATGTTGTTAGTAAGAATTAGAACCAATAGGAGGAACCACCAGAAAGAGGGAAAAAAAACACAACAGAAGAAAAAAATAGCAAATAGTATGCTTCGATCTGCATTCAAACTCCATAGTTCTTTCTTTGGATATGGATAGCATTTTCCATCATGAGACCTTTGGAGATGTCTTAGATCCTTGCATTGCTGAGAAGGATTAAGTCTATCAATATTAGTCATCGTACAACATGGCTGTTATGGTGTACGATGTTCTCTTGGTTCTGCTCACGTCACTTAGCATCAGACCATACAAGTCTTTCCAGATCTTTCTGAAGTCTTCTTGCTCATCATTTCTTATAGGACAACAGTATTCAATTACATTCATATACCATAACTTGTTCAGCCATTTCCCAATTGATGGGTATTCTCTCAATTTCCAATTCTTTGACACTTCAAAAAGAGTTGCTATAAATATTTTTGTACTTGTGGGTCCTTTTCCCATTTGTATGATCTCTTTGGGATATAGCCCTAGAAGCTATTGCTGGGTCAAAGACTATGCACATTTTTATAGCCCTTTGGGCATAGTTCCAAATTGCTCTCCAGAATGGTTGGATCATTTCATAACTCCACCAACAATGCATTAGTGTTCCAATTTTCCCACATCTTCTCCAACATTTATCATTTTCCTGTTTTGTCATGTTGGCCAATCTGATAGGTATAATGTGGTACCTCAGAGTTACTTTGATTTGCATTTCTCTAATTAATAGTTACTTAGAGCATTTTTTTCATGTGACTATAGATGGCTTTAATTTCTTCATTTGAGAACTGCCTGTTTATATCTTTTGACCATTTATCAATTGGAGAATGACTTGTATTCTTATAAATTTGACTTAATTCTCTATATATTTTAGAAATGAGGCCCTTATCAGAGACATTGGCTGTAAAAATTCCCAATTTTCTACTTTCCTTCTAATCTTGGTTGCATTGGCTTTGTTTGTGCAAAAACTTTTCAATTTAATGTAATCAAAGTTATCCATTTTGCATTTCGTAACGTTCTCTATCTCCTGTTTGGTCATGAATTCTTCTGTTCTCCATAAATCCGATAAGTAAACTATTCGTTGTTCTCCCAGTTTGCTTACAGTATCAGCCTTTATATCTAAATCATGAACTCATTTTGACTTTATTTTGGTATACAGTGTGAGATTTTGATCTATGCCTAGTTTTTGCCATACTCTTTTCCAGTTTTCCCAGTAGTTTTTGTCAAATAGTGAATGCTTATCCCAGAAGCTGGGGTCGGTCTTTGGGTTTATTAAATAGTAGATTACTATAATCATTGACTACTGAGTCTTGCATACTTAACTTATTCCATTGATCCACCACTCTCTTTCTGGCTGCTAACATTTTTAATTACCTTGGCTTGACTTGGCTGTCTCTAAACCAGAGGGGAATATTCAATAATGTGTGTGACAAGTGCATATACATCATTACCATCAACACACTAAACGTGGATTATTAAAAAGATAGATTTCTAAATTGCTTGGGTTATCACCTCCATCATCCTTCTAGGAAACTAAATTTGTATTATATCTCCTGGTCTTCTAGCCTCTTATCCCTGCCTGCCTCCTAGCTGACTGTATAGTTGGCCTGGTTTGCACAGAATAATATGGCATTAGGTGAATCATTTCACCTACACTTTTCATTTGTCCCTAAGGTTTCATGGGAAATCACAAAGACACAACTTCTTCCTCCCTTGCCCACATCAGAATCAGCTCATTCTACCTGGTCCCAATAAGGAGAGGTCTCCTGCTTTCTGTAAGCCCTAACCTGGGTTCAAACAGTATAATATAACCTGCTGGCTGAGTATAGCTGATGAAGGACAACTCATACAACTTTGGTAATTGTAAAGACCTTTGTAGACATTTAGTGCTGGGGAATACTTTGTATGGTCATCTCAATTATCCAAGGAGAGCACAAAAATAAAATTTCCAAACCTCATTTTAGCCATTCACTTCTACTTTCTTTACTGCTGAAGCTTTTTTTTACCCGAATGTCTGCCAAGAACAAATTGGAGGCCACCCAGAGGAGGGCAATTAGGATGGGGAAGGAGCTGGAAACAATGTCATTGTGGTAGGATCTGGGGATGGATAGGCAGGATAAGAGGAGTCAAGAGAGGATATGAGACCAGTGTAGATGTATGATGGCTGGGGTGTGTGACATCTCTGGGCTTCAGTTTCCTTCTTTGTAAAATGAGTTAGATGACTTCCAAGGACACTTCTATGATCCTATGATGATTGCCAGTTGAAATCTTACCCATCTTTCACATAAAACAGGCTGAGTAGATCATTTTTACCTGGTAGATCACAGTTGTCTTCAAATATTTTCCATATATGTCATGTGGAAGAAGAACCTGATTTATTTATGTGGTTCCAGAAGATCAATAAGTGTATGATATAAAGAGGTAGAATTCAATTCAATTAAAAGACAATCCTTGTAACAATTGGAGCTATCTCATGATGGGACAGGATGTCCCATAAAGTAATGTGTGGGTTCTAAGGAAAGGAGAGGCTGGAAGAGCCATCTGCCACTGTTGTCACAAAAGGTGTCACTTTGTTGAATCCCGTATATATCTTGTTTATACACAGCCATTTGTGTGTTCCATTTGACTGTGAACTCCTTCAGGTCAAGCACCATGTTTTGCCTTTTTTTATCCCCAGTACTTAGCATGGAGCCTAGCACACAGTAAGTGCTTAATAAACGGTGTTGATTGACTGACTGAATGAATGGGAGATTGACTAAATAACTTAAGTCCTTTTCAACTGGAAGATTCTAGGAGCACTAGAGTTCTAATCTCTTCTATTAACCTTCTGTCAGAGATACCGTCAAGTCTTATAGCAGAGTTGGGAGACTTGAGCTGAAGCAAGAGGGTCTGGCTATCACATAGGGAGAATTCACATTAGGAGTAATCAGCTCCTGAAGAATGAGGAGTTACTCAGCTCTCTCTCTCCCTTAGCGTGGTTGGGGATTACTTTAGCAAAAACCTAATTGCTTCTGATATACACAGACATTTTATTTAGCTTAGTATCTTTGGAAACTGAGAATAAACTTTCCATATATCTAAAGGAGGTAAATGGACTATCTGGATGTCTTTATTTTACACATTTATTATAATTATCATACTATATTACATATATATGTGTGTGTATATATATATATACATATTATAATATATATATATGTGTGTGTATATATATATATAAAACATATACATATATCCAAACTGTTTGGATTTAGTCAAAGGGCCGCACTTGAGGACCTAGAGGGCCACATGTGGCCTTGAGGCCACAGGTTTCCCACCCCTGATCGGGTCTGCCATAACCATCTGTCAGGTCCTGTTAGATTAGTTCTATGACCGCCCATTGCTTTTATTTGGAAAGTAGGTGAGAGCAAACTATACAAAACACTTAAAAAAAAGTTAATTAAAATTTTTTTTTCAATCAGTAAAATCTGCCCCCTACCCCCCCACCCCCCGCCTTGCACAACAGGACCCTTGTTACAAACATGTGTAGTCAAATAAAACAAATGTCTGCGTTGGCCATGTCCAAAGAAATACGTCTCAGAGTCCTTCACATCTTTATCAAGATGCAGGCAGCATGCTTATTCGTGAGTTCTCAGGTTGGTCATTACACTAATCAGACTTCCTAAGTTATTCAAAGTTGTTTGTGTTTACCATATCGTTGGCATTGGACAAATTGTTGTCCTGGTCCTGCTCATTTCACTCTCTATCAGTTCTTACTGGGCCAAACAGGATGGTAAAGGATCATGGGATTACAGACTCAAAGTTGAGAGGGACCTCCGAGACCATCAGATCCACTGCCCTTCACTTAAAGTGATTTGCCCAAGGTCAGACAGATAGTAGGTGGCAGAGACAGGATTCACATGAGCCATGTGGAAAGTGGATTAGACTTTTTTTCTGTTTGGTCACTAGAGGATGTACCTAGAAGCAATAGGTAGAAGTTTCAGAGACAGTTTTTGACTTGCCAGGAAATACTTCCCAATAAATGGGGGTGTCCAAAAGTGGGATGGGCTGCCCAGAGAGTCAGTGAGTTTGGTTCAATGTATTTCATTAAGCCTTTATTAAGTACCTATTCTTTGCAAGGAAATGGGAGTTTCTCCTCATTAAAGGTCTTTAAGAGAAGTTTGGATGGCCACTTTTTGGGTGTATGGGGATTCCTGTCCAGGCATTGGTTGGACTAGGTAACCTCTGAGGTCTCTTCTTTTTAAATTAATTAATTAACTTTTAGTTTTCAACATTCACTTCCATAAGATTTTGAGTTCTAAATTTTTCCCTCCTCCCCAAGACAGCATGCAATGTGATATAGACTCTACATATACATTCATATTAAACTTATTTTTACATTAGTCACGTTCTAAAGAAGAATTAGAACCAATGGGAGGAACCAGAAGAAAGAAGAAACAAACAAAAGAAAGAGTACAAATAACATGCTTCCATTTGCATTCAGACTCCATACTTTTTTCTCTGGATGTGGATAGCATTTTCAATCAGGAGTCTTTTGGATTTGTCTTAGATCCTTGCATTCCTGAGAACAACTAAGTCTATCAAAGTTAGTCATTGCTCAATGTTGCTGTTACTGTGTACAATGTTCTCTTGGTTCTGCTCACTTCATTCAGCATCAGTTCATGTAAGTCTTTCCCGGCTTTTCTTAAGACCATCCGCTCATCGTTTCTTACGGAACAATAGTATTCCATTATATTCATATACCACAACTTGTTTAGACATTCCCCAATTGATGGATGTCCCCTCAATTTCCTTTTCTTTGCCACCACAAAAAGAGCTGCTATAAATATTTGTGTACATGTGGGTTTTTTCCCCCATTTTTATGATCTCTTTGGAATACAGCCCTAGAAGTGCTATTGCTGGGTCAAAGGCTATGCACATTTTTATAGCCCTTTGGGCATAGTTCCAAATTGCTCTCCAGGATGGCTGGATCAGTTTACAACTCCACCAACAATGCATTAGTGTTCCAATTTTCCCACATCTTCTCCAACATTTATCATTTTCCTGTTTTGTCATGTTAGCCAATCTGATAGGTGTGATGTGGTACCTTTGAGGTCTCTTCTAACTGAGATCTGTGATCCTGGGACTGAACTTTAGACTTGTTAAAGAGCCTGATGGGGTGGAGAAGCTCATAGGCATGACACTAACTTCCCCTGAGAATGGGAAGTTCCAATTTTGGTGTCTGGTTCCCAACGCAAGACACAGGACACAGCAAACAACACACGACCTTTCTGTGCTCCAGTCTGCCCGCTCCCAGAAACCTTATGTCTACCTCATCTTTCAGTTAATTCCCATGTTCCTACCCTTGTCAAGTTTTTCCTTTAGCAAAGATCATAAACACCTTTGGACTAATCAGATGATTCTTTGAGATAGAAGTGAGCTAAAGGAATAAACAAGAATTACACACAGATATTCCAAGGGGAAAATTTTGCCAGGCAGAAGTGAGTTTATCTGGAACTAAGCTAGCCCCATTATCTAAGTTATGAGATTCTCTAACTTTAGTTTCAAGATCCCGTTCCCTGCCCTTCACCTCATGCTATGATAGGGCTCTTGGGGGGAAGGTTATTGGATAGGAAAGTGTGTGTAGGGAAACAGTACCTTGGTGATTTGGAAATGGGGCATCCTCCAAGATCCCAACCTGCCACTGGGGAGTATGGGGCATGGCCATGCCCTGAATCCAGCCACAGTCTCCATCCTCAAAGTCACAATAAAATCCAGCTGGGAGTTTTTCTGCAAGGAAAAAGCAGAGATACAGTCAATGCAATTCCAATTTCCAATTAAAATTCAATACAATCCATGTTTATTAGGCATTAATAGTAATATTAATATTATATATTAATATAACCGATATATTAATAGAATTAATATGATATATCATACAACATATTAATATAATAATTGATATAATTAATACAATAATATTATTAATAATAATAATATTAAGTTATCTTCTATGAGAATGCAAACACCTTGAGAGCGATGACTGTCTTGTTTTTCTGTTTGTATCCTGCTGCTTAGCACAGTGTTTTGCACATAACAAATACTTAAGAAATCCTCATTTTTTCATTCGTTCATTCATCTACTATGTGTACTGTGCTATAATAATAAGCATTGGAGGTGCAAACACTAGCTGTCTTTTCATGATATCTTAGTCCTTCCTAGTATGAAAGAAATTCATCTCATAGTCTAATTCCCACAAAACTGTTAGTGACTTATGGTGTTATTGATTCATTTATTCATATATTCACCCATTTAACAAGCATTTATTAAGTGCCTACAGCTAGGTGCGGGAGAGATTACCAGGTGTCTGCATTTTAAAATGGAATATCAAGGAGAGGACAATGCTTCATTCAAAGAAATGAACGGAGTAACTGTAGAATTCCAGGTACCATGATGGGCAGGTAGGGAAAGTGTTTTTCAATAGGAAGCCCCTTACTGGCTTACTTCCACTCATTCCCCAGAAAAGACTTCCTACTCTGCTTAATTAGAATGCTAGCCTTGCAAAGAGGCTACCATAATCCTTTGCTCCTCCTCAGACTTTCCCTGGGCCCAGTGTCATAAGGTGAGACCCACATGGATGTACTCTTCATGTAACTTAGCATGGTGCAGGTGGGAAGAAAATGTAGATGTAGAGTCAGGACCCTGGGTTTGAATTATGACTCTTCCACTATGATATAAAACAAGTCATTTCCCTTAACTGGACCTCAATTTCCTCACTGGCAAAATGATCCAGTTGGACTAAAAGACATCTAAGTTGCTTTCCAGCCCTGGATCTGTGACCTATGAGCTAGAGAACTGACCTTGAGAAGCATGTGCCTGTAAAAAGGTTCTGGAGTCCTGTTCACATGCTCTTGACCTCAATACAGCCAATCCAGGAGATAGCAGGAGGGCCAAGCCAGTGAAGAATGGGCCCCAACAGGAGGGATGGAATCATAGTCTTCCACCCAGAAAGACAGGTTAACCCAAAGCACAAATAATGTTCCTTTTCCCCCTTTTCTCTCTGCTACCTCTTGACAGAGAGGGGCCCTCTCTCTTCCTGGCTTTGACAGTGCTTCAGTGAATTATTGCTCATCCTCCCCAACCTCCTGCCCTGTTTTTCTGGGCTTTTCACACAGAGGCATAATCATAAATTAAAACAAGTTGTCACTGACTTTGAACATCTCTTCCATTTATATCCCACTGAAGAAATCATTTCCTCCCTGAGCCCTGTGTGAAGTTTCTCTGATGAAAAATCCAACAGTAAAGGAAGAAATCTTTCTGTTTTATTTTTTATTCCCCCTTCAGGAGTCCCCCATCTACTTCACTTTGCAGCAGCTAACTGGTAGCTGGAAGGAACCCCTGCTGTGATATGCTCTTCAAATATAGAGCTTTGCCAAGCAAGCCTTACAGGATGCCGATCTAACAGGAGAGTTGGAGCTCTTGGGGGATGGGGGAAGGAGGCTGAGCCAAGGCCCCCCATTGCCTCTAGCTCAGTCAGCTGACTGTCTTCTGTTTGGGATGTAGGGTCCGAGAAAGCACCCTATCTTCTGAAACATGGATACTTTGAGCTGAATATCAGCATTAGGAGATCTGGCATCTCACCCTGCATCTGCCGCTTTTTAGACATGTGACTATCCCTCCAAATCTCAGTATTCTCATCTGCAAAATGGGTATATTAATACCTAGCCTAGCTAACTTATAAAGTTGTTGTGAAGATCAAACAACACAATGCGGAATTTATATAATAATGAAAATACTTTGAATAATAATAACTAGTATCCACATAGCAATTTAAGGCTTACAAAACATTTTACAAATATTATCTCATTTCATTCTTGCAATAACCCTGGGAGGTAGGTACTATTACTATCTATCCTTGTTTTACAGATGAAGTAATTGAGACTGAGAGAGGTTTAGTGTCAAGAGTCACACAGCTAGAAAGTGTCTGAGGCTGGATTTGAATTCAGGTCTTCCAGATTCTATTTAACTGCACCACCTGCCTTACACTCTATCTACTGCACCACCTGGCTGCCTCTTTGAAAAGCAGAAATGTACAAATGTATGAAATTGTCCAAAGCCTGGGGTCACTAGTCACTGAGATCAGGGTGCAGGACAGAGATTATGATGATTTAGGGGTATAGGTATAGGGTCATAAAGTGCTTTGCTGATACCTTTAAAATGCTAGGACCACCTCCCAAACCCCCAAAGCTTGTATCTATTTTGCATATATCTATATGTGAACACATTGACTACAAGCTCCTTAACAACAGGGATTGTTTTATTTTCATCTTCATAGTCGTAGTGCCTAAGACAGAGACTGGAACATCACAGGCATGTCATCAATGCTTTCTGAATGATTGATTCTAACCAGGTGAAGCAACACTATGAGTGGTTTTACTTTCCTTTTACAGTTAAGGGAACTGAGGCTTTCATCATTAGAAAGTTTTTCCTGACTTCAAACTTAAATGTGCATTTTTGCACCTTTTATCCACTGGCCCTAGAGCTGATCCCTCTGGGGCTGAGCAGAGACTGGCTACTGGAATGCTGGATTCTGGGGATGGTCTGAGAGGAGGCACCAATACTTCAGTCTCTTTGTTCTGGACCCCTCAGTCTTCTTCATACAGTTTAAGATCGAAGATTCATAAATTTGGAAGGGGGAGGGATAGCAGAGGTCGTCTAATCCAGCCTCATTTTACAGATGAGGAAACAGTAAACAGAGGTTAAGAGATTTACTCATAGTCAAATAAGCAGTAAGTGGCAAGACTGGGATTTAAACATGTTTGGATTCTGCATCTAACGCTCAGTCTGCTGTATCACAGTTGTCCTCCTCAATCTGGATAATACACAGTAGTATGGTCTGCAGGATTTGCAGGATGGACTCAACATATAATCCATTACAGGAGACCTTCAGTTTAAAGAAGTATTTCTCAACCTTTTGTAGACTCCATGGAATAGGATAGGAAAGGATAGGAGAGAATAGGAAAGGACAGGGTAGGATAGGGCAGTATAGGATGGGATGGGATAGGGTAGGATAGGATAGGATTAGGGTAGGGTAGGATGGCATAAGGTAGGATAAGGTAGGGTAGGGTAGGGTAGGATGGGATAGGGTAGGGTAGGGTAGGATGGGATAGGGTAGGGTAGGATAAGGTAGGATAGGGTAGAGTAGGATAGGAGAGGATAGATTGGAACAAAATATTCTAATACAGAAACAGGAATTCTTAGAAGTACAAAGGGACTGCTGCTGGTTGTGAGTCATTCTGAGTTAACATAACTGTAGGCCTTTGGTTATCTTTTGCTGGACCTGATGACAGAAGTCATTGTTTGGTACAGAATACTGAGTAGAAGCAACCAAACATTTGAAAGACTGGTTTCTGTTCACATAGGGCTTTAGATGTTACCAAACATGTTCTTCCCAATAACTTAGGAAGACGGCAATGTAAGTACTGTTATGCCCATTTTACAGATGGGGAAACTTGAGGCTCAGGGAAATTAAAGTAACTTGTCTAGTACTACACAGCTAGGAAACTAGTAGAGCTGGGACTCACACCTAAGGCTTCTGACTTGAAAGTCAGAGTCTTTTTAAAAAAATTTTAATTTTTTAAAGACCATGTAACACACTATAGTCAGTTAAACTGATCAAGTCAATGAATTCAACACTGAGATTTTCTATGATCCATTCCAACACAGGAAACTAAGAGATGATGATAGGTATGTTTTTATAATTCATCAAGGTTTTCAAAATGTTTTCATATACATTATGTCACTTGAAGCAAGATTAAGGTCGGAGGGACATGAGAGAAAAAAACAAGACACCTCAGTTTCCTCATCTGTAAAGTGACGGGACTGGACTGAGTGGCTTCTGAGATGGCCCTTCCAATTATAGAACTAGATCCATGGACCTGTGAGCTTGTAAGTTGTGTGTGTGTATGTGTGTGTGTGTGTGTGTGTGTGTGTGTGTGTGTGTGTGTGTGTGT